ACACGAGGAGCCAGAGAAAAAGCCATGCGACCATGGAGAGAACATGCAAACTCCAAATATACAGGTGTACACACTGTACTGGGTGTTGGTATATTACAGTTCACCTGGGAAAGTCTAGTTTTGGGTCAGATTCAATTTTCCACTTGTGTTGTGCATCTTAATCTGGATCTCCAGGATTGTAATGCTGTGTGTAAACCACAATACTGCCACTGGCGGGCAGAAGAGCAGGGCTACATATCGTGAAATTATTAGTTAAATATTGTGCTAAGACGACTCAGTGCCATCATAAAATGCATTTACAATTTGGATTAATATAGGATCCAAATATAACCGCATCTCAAAATGCAACTGTCATCATCATCCTCTCTCTGTTGTCAGTCACATGATGAGGCTGCTGCACCACTTTGTGGGAATTCAACAGTGGAGGGACCGGTTATGAGCACTGCCTGAGGCTCATTTGCACAGTTATGAGCACTGCTCATTTGCACAGGGGACACTTTGACCTTCTTATGTATCACAAGGAATCTGGGTAGTTGAGCAGTCAAAATAAGCTCCCCTTTGCCACAGTTCAATTCAAAATGCAGCCAACTTGTGATTTATGCGACGCTATACCAAGGGACATCTTCTGCTGTAAAGTGCATGTTAAAGACTCCGTTCATATGTAACATATACTGTTGTGTAATTTGTGGAAATGTTTGGTAGCTTTTGCCGATGTAGATTTTAATATCAATTGTAATCTAATTTAGCAAAATGTGTATGCCATTTTTTTAGGCCATCTAGAAGTACTAGCAGGAATCTTGAAATTTTGACACGCTTGACCAATATGCTCTGATATGTTGGCACTTATCTGCTTTTGTAGGAGATGGATTACTTAAATTTCAATTGAACATGTATTTATATGACAGAGGACTAAAGTAGGATTTCATTGTTGATAATATCAACTGCAAATGTAGATATAGAATTGAAAGTTGCTGCCAAATGATCCACGTCAATACGGTATTTAAAATATTTTCTTTAGATCTAATTGCCTTTAACAAATATAAGTTGACCATCTCTGGGGAAGTTAAACAAGTTGGAGATATAATGGATGAGTAAAACTGATTAATCACACTTAAACATAAGTTTAAATCACCGAACAGACATAAATAAGATGTAAATGTATCCAATCGTTAGAAACTATTCGTTCTGGATGTTCATTAAAAATGGTTATTTGGTGGACATTTAGAATTTCATGTCTATTTTTTTATCTGAGATATATATTACATGCTTTTCTTTATCCTTTAAATAAAGGGTTAACAACTTAATCTGATGTACTTTGTCTCCTCCAAGGACAAATGGATGCTAATATATAACATATATAGTACACGCATGGCAACATTTAAGATGGCCACAAGGCTTTCCATGTGTTGGGGTCATGCCACTGTGAGGTGGTCAGTTGGTGGAAGTGCTGAATGTTACTCCCGTGTATGTATGGGTTTTCTCTGGGTATTATATATATATTTTCCCCCACATGCCAAACAAATCATTAAGGGAATTGGCCAATCATCCTAACGCAAGACCCCCTCAATAAAGAGTGTTTGGCTTTAAATAGTTGGCGTTAAAATTAGTATTTGTATCACTTTGTTCAAATAAAGAAGCAAAGTATCACAATGTATAAACAAGTATGAGACTGCCAGTCATAGCCATTGCTGGCCATGAACTAGCGATTAAAATTCCATATTCCTATGGTGAGAGCCAAGCTTCATGAAGCAACCCATGTTGACTTTCCACAGAGTGGTATGCACTCATTTTATCAATAATGGATAGATGATGTTCTAAGTCAACCCCTGATGTGGATTTAAATCGATAATGTTCTTATTGTGAATCTAGTGTTCCAACCACAGTGCCACTTGTATGGATGGTTGGATGGTTATATGAAGGACATTGAGAAGTGTTTTGAGAGAATATAAATACACCTAGGACACACTCTTACAATTTGCACATGGTTCACTGATTTGACTTACATTCTATTCTGTACAGGACAGGCGGAGTGTCTTCACCATGTTATGCGGGAGTTTGATAACGTCACAAGTCATCCCATATGGCAGCACATTTGACTCATACAAATGAAATAGCTTTGTTGAGGGATATGCATGACTTGACATTCAAATCGCAATAATTTGATGTTTATGATAGAACCTAGATTCGCAGATGGAAGATTTATTTACGTATGCCCAGGTGAGCACCCACTGAACTCTCTTTTGCAAGAAGAATCTGAAGTAAAATACTTGAAGATGGTGGAACAATTTTGCGGATTAAATAATTCAAAATAAAAGGTTTGCAAATGTATTGCAAATTGTTGGAAACGTTTCTAAGCAATACAGTAATTGTAAGCTTGCCAGGTCATATCCTGGCCATGGATTGACAGCCCATCATCCCTCTGTGTTTGTTGAGTTCCACTTGGTGGAACTTGTTGATATTGAATACCACTTGGTCGTACTCAATAACCATTGGTAATCCTATGGAGAGATTGCTCCCTATTATAAAAAAGGTGGAATTTCCACCACTGTAGCACAGGCCTGCCAACAGAGATGAACGGGACTCAGGAGGCATTGAGAATAGAGACACAGTGTGACTCATGCAGTTGGTCACCCAAACGCTGCGACTCCTCAAGTTATCAACACTGTATTACAAGGGCGATGTTGAAAAGCTGCAGTCAACCTTGCGAAAGTTGATCTCGGGGTTTTTTGCACGTTCGGCATGATGCTCTGAGGACCAACACAAAATCCGGTGTCGTGGAAATCCCTGACTGATGACTCTCGCGGGACGCCAATTACGCAGCCGTCCTTTTCGACCGGGGAGCCTGGGCTGCCCGTGCTTCTTTGCACCCTGGGCCGTGCTCTCGCTCACCACCCATCTCCTCCCTCCCAGGGCCCAGGGGGCTCATACATAACCCTGAAGCCAGCAGAGAATGACCGGAGGCGCAGGTGGCTGAGTGGAGAAAGAACGCTGCTCCCCGAGATTGCCCGCCGTACATCGAGGAACCATCTGCTGCTATTCCTCCATTAGTTTAGGACGTAACCTGTTACTAGTAATACATACCTGTAATCATATTACTATAGGCAGCCGTAATCCTGCATTACTATATTTTAGCGTATGTTCATATTTGTGATACTTAGCGTGCAATGGCTGATTGCTTTTTTATGATTAGGTTGATTTCCTTTCAATGTTTTAGTCTTCCAAAAAGAACTAAAAGGGGAAATTATTGCCAGCAGCTGGTGTTAATATGACAGCAGCCAATACATAAAGCTCAACCTACAATTCCTACACAGGGCTTTTATTTTTCATGTTAAATAATAACCAAGTATATATCAACATGAATTCAGTCATCACACAGCAGTAATCAAGTAATCAGACTACATTTCTTGGAAAATGACTAATGCATCTTCTTGGTTCTTTCGGTAAAGTCACGTAGAATGGAAATAAAATAATAAAACTCAAACATAATAAAATAATATTCTCACGACGTTTCGACCACAACACAAGTAGCCTTCCTCAGGTGAAGAAACAGAACTGTCGGGAAGAGAGCGCTGTCTTCCCGACAGTTCTGTTTCTTCACCTGAGGAAGGCTACTTGTGTTGTGGCCGAAACGTCGTGAGAATTTTATTTTATTATGTTTTATTTTTATTATTTTATTTCCATTCTACGTGACTTTACCGAAAGAACCAAGAAGATGAATCCCTGCAGTCACGAAAGCTTTAAATCGAAAAATAACTAATGCAGTCATAAGACACTGCTTCATTTTCAAAAGCAGCCCTCCCAAAACTCAAATAAAATATTCTGAAATGGCTTAACGGGTTTCCATGCTGTTCAATACGACTCCAAAAGGATACCTCACAACCTTTCTCTAAAGCCCAGTTCGCTTTTAAGCAACAATTTGTTTGCTAGAGAATGATGCGCTTTCCTTGCTTACGAATACAATTTTACAGTGATTACACAAACGCATTTTGAGGTGTTCACAAAAGCCAAATTAAATCACTATAATCTGCTAATATTTTGGCCTCTGAAAACAATTTAAATGTTTCATTATTGTTAATTGTTTTGCACATTTACCACATACATATACGCATTTAGAAACTTTTTTTCTCAAAATAGCGACCAAAAAATTCCCAGTCTCAGATTTTATAATGTTTCGAAACATGTTATGGCTGTTACTTTACAGTAGCTTTACAGATTTCTTGGTAGGGCTGACAAAAGTTCCTCAAGAGAACAATGCTAATTTGAAAGGGTCGTGGGTATGGGTTAGCAATCATATGGGACACGTGACCACCATGAAAGACCAGCTCACTGTATCACAAAGCCAACTATGGTGTAAGCGTAGGGAAAACCACATCGAACAATGTTCTTGTGCTGTTATTGGTAACTAGGTTGACCCCATCAACTCACTCACCCTGCTTGTCAACTCAGATTAATCAAAGGCGGTTGCCCAGACTCAAACTCATGATATTTGCAGTGCCAGCTGAGTGTGTTGAAAGTATATTTCCCCTCTGAAGCACACAGCGAGCGCATTTGAAAGCAATAACTATTTGTGCATCAAGTATTGACCATGCAAGAATTAACTTGTTAGCATTATTTTGACAATCAAATCTCATTTGCAATTTGTGCAAAGTTAATCTAACATAACTTCCCCAACACTCCTATCTGTACTGTTAATGTGCGTGAGTGTGGAATTAAATATTTAAATACAAGCAACACCAAAATACCACCAGAATCACATTGAAATTTTTATTCAGTTTTTCAGTTTATTTATTTTGGTATAGCCCTGTGAGCCATTCGGCTCTTGAATCGGGTGCGACCACAACAAAAACAAAAACGCGAACAAGAAACGGTGCACCTCAGCTGCGTGGTACAACTAGCTTATTTCAATTAATAAATGATCTGGCCGGTGAAAGCGGACAGGATTTTCATCCCACACTTAGAAGATCAGTCGTAAGTGGAACAGGGCCATTATGGCGGCTGACCTGTGCCCACACTGTGCTGAACTGGGCCGGATTTTTCCATTTCCCTCCCACACAAGCGCACCTTCCCCCTTTCCACATTCATCGTGACCTAGTTTCGGACAGCAGGAGGACACGCACACCCCTGCAGGGCAAAAATCTAAACGAAATGTTTGGTGGTAGGGTCAGCAACCAATATTTGAAGCACTTTGATTAAAAAAAGTTTAGCGCATACATTTGCTCGTGTTTCGTTGAAAATGTTATTTTTAATTTTTTAATTTTCGTTAAACGAGCGAACAAGGTGGGTTACGTCACGATGCGAGGTTTTCGTCGCCGCAGTGAACTCGCGATATTGTGACCGGTTCTCGAGTCAATGTTCAGCAACACGACCAGGAGTGTCCCGTCAAAGCGAGGCTATTGCACATGGCATCGTGCCTTCACATCGTGGGGACGCAGCAGCAGCAGCAGCACAGAAGCGGCCTGGGAAGAGCCTGGGATTGACGTGCAATTAACGTGCCACGGTCACGAGTCACCATAAACCTTCCCAGCGCCAAGTGGTCATGCAGTGATTAAGGAGAGGGTACCTTTTTTCAAACCCCTCCCATCTCCAAGCCGAACATAAATCACTTAAAATTATTGATAACGTGAAGCCATTTTTCAAACGTGGATGAATGTACTTAGATTTTGCCGCAATTTATCTTTAAAGATTTGCCATTAATCTGAGCAGTTAATTTCATGTCTTTCACTGTTATCCTTTATTAAAACACCATCTGGCTGAGATGCAGCTCAGCTGGCAGAGAAGAATGGATTTCAATCACAAGATTGTGATTTCAAATCCCGACAACAGTGTATTCGACCCCATCACCATTGGTACTCAGGGGTCGCTAAAATGAGCATCACTTTGTGAAGCAATGTTCTGTATTCGTTCTACGCATTAAATAGTACCCGCCATAGAAATTTGTAAGTTAAACCATTACCCCAGGGCTACTAAAGGAGTTGTGCACCAACGAATGTTAATTTTTGCTTTTTTTCCATTTGTAAAATGTGCTACTTGTATAAAGTGCCATGGTCCACAACGTCACCTTTTGCATATGAGTTATTTTAAAGCAGTGTGTATTGAAGCGTGGGTTCTGTTTTTACCTTCATTAAATGGACAAGTGATTATAATGAAACTTAAAACATCCGTTGATAGCACTGCCTGAAAAAGAAATATGTAAAATTTGGTTACGCTTTGGACAATGGCCCTTCTTCATAGCACAGAGAGGCCAGAGAGGTAGGAAGCTGATTACAGGTTCACTTAAAAGTGCTGCGATTTTATTGTTAACTGCAGTACAGCATTGGCCAGTGGCACTGTGGTCACAGTACACAACTCGCAATCAGCCCATCACCGCCTCGGGGTCAATAATATGATATTCCACTTTGTACCAAGTCACAGAGATGCTGCCGTGGTGTACCAGTTAGCACACTTTAACCGACAATCCAAAGTCATCGGTTCGATTTCATTTCCTGGCAGGGCAGTTGAAACAATGGGCAATCTTATTTTGTCTCCACCAAGCACCACTTCTGTCCACCCAGCAGTATGAACCACATTCGATCTGCAGGTCACAAGTGGTGGGGGCAATTGTGGGTACTCCGACCTCTTCTAAGATGTCTGGCCAGCGTAGAAGGATAGGCCAAATACCTTCTTTCTAGGGCTCCCTCTAGTGGAAGCTCTTCCGCCAGTGGTGGCGTGAACAAAACATTTCAGGTCTTCTTTGACCATTACCAAGCAAGCCAAGAGTAGCCATCCTTTGGAAAGACTGGTTCCCATCATGAGAATATGAAATTTACACAAACGGACTCGGGTCCATGATTAGCGGCGAGCGCTGCACCGTTGGTCAATTGAGCAGCAGGGGAACACTTTGGGTCTCGATTAATGTTGAGCTTGTTTTTTTGCACGTTTGCGGAATTCCGAGGTTGTGTGGAAATTCCGCAAAAAATATTTTGTGGATCACATGGAGATTTATGAATCTCTCAAACCCACTGGGGGCTGTGAGAGGGCCAGGAAAATACAGTGCAACAATGACCTGGAATTGATTTTCTGAGGTACTCCAGTGTTTTTTCTTTGCCGATGCCAAATAAACTTTAAAAAACGAGTCTAAGTACTCAGTGCATCTTTCCCAGGGACACTGCCTCCACTGCATCGTCTTTGTCTCCATCATCGGTTGCAAAAAAAAAATGGCACAAGCAACCACAACAGTAGCCTAACTATCATCATCATAACCATCGTCACCTGCAGAAGTAGAAGCAGCATCCATTTATCATAATCGGCACTCATATATCACCATTGATATAATAATCATTCACATCGTTATCCTCATCACCGTGCCATCTTCGTGTGTGTTTTTGTGAGTGGGCCTCATTGCAGCAAAATGTGATTAAAGCTTTCAGTATATATGAAGAACATTTTCGGAAATTGAGGTACCAAACATGCCCGTGAAATGTAATGGCATTGGCCACCATGCTCTCAGTGCTTCTCAAACGAGCCACGCCTTTACATCGTGATTGCTGCGATTCCGGAAATTTGCAAACAATTGTGCGCAAATACACCATGCAAAATGTTCCCACCAACATCAGCTCAGCCCAAACCCTGCCAACTTCGGGCCATTCTGCAATGGGGTCATGATTGAGGGTGAAATCGTTCTGTTTTTGTACAGAATCAGTTATATTTGAGTTGAAATGTTTTTACGTTTCTGATTTTATCAATTGCCATTGCACCAAAAGTGAGGGAATTATGGCAAAATATAGCTAATAAGTTGCAGTGATGTTTACGAAGCCCCAGAACTGTTGCTCAGGGTCGCTGCTCATCGTGGCTGTTAAACCTATCTGTGCGTGTCTGCTGTTCAATGCGAGTATGTTAAATGACATAACGCCTCAAGGCAAAGTTACTTCTGAGATATTAGAGGATGTCTTTATCAGGTGGGTGTAAAAAATGTGAAGTGCTAAAGCAGGGCTGAAAACCTTTTTGAAACATGTGCAAGCTGTATAATTGCTGCTGTTTGTGTGTTTGTTACACGATTGGAATATAACAATTTCAAATAAAGGTTGGGGGTCCATCAATCTTGTCATTCCACTTGGGTTGATAAAATGAATGGTAACAAGGAACAGTAAAATGGAGTTATGGTACCTGCCATGTGAATGTGGAATTTTCACCAATGACTCAATGGCACAAATCGAGGTGTGTGCCACCTGTTGCTCGTTTGGGTATGGAGAGATTTTGACTTGATTGAATGTATCAGCATTTATTCATGATAGATGTTTGTATCTTTCCCCAAATTTGAACTCATTGTGCTGTCGGTGTTGTGTCACGAGACAAAGGTCTCCAGTGTGATCGCAGTTGTCATTGCAACCCTCCATGTTAGAGAATGACCAGTGTAAATAGATATTGCAGAACTACATGTGAGAACCATTCAAGTGACCTCAAATCCACATTGTAGGGGGTAGCATTTCCCCACTTGCCCTGCTACAATTCTCCAGAGCTGAACAAAAGTGAACCAGATCTTACTTATTCTTGGTTCTTTCGGTAAAGTCACGTAGAAGGGAAACAATTAAATAATAAAAATATAAAACGATACAATTCTCACGACGTTTCGACTGCAACACAAGCAATCATCAAGAAAATGTTCTTGCTGTGGTTTTCACACCTGATGATGATTGCTTGTGTTGCAGTCGAAACGTCGTGAGAATTTAATTGTTTTATATTTTTATTATTTTAATGTTTCCCTTCTACGTGACTTTACCGAAAGAACCCAGAATAGTAATCCCTGCAGTCACGAAAGCTTTAAATCAAAATTCAAATCTTACTTGATTAATGAGAACCGGGTTTAATCACAGACAGCTGCCTGGATTTGAACCGAGAGCCTCAGCCGTGGCAGCTCAGTGCTCTGACCTCTGCGCCACCTGGCCTCTTAATAATAAACTTATTTTTAAAGGAAAGGCAGGGATGGGAGGCAAGACGCTTTTTTTTTTACAAAATTGGATTGTAGTGTACAATGACGTTATATTACATGCAATTACATTTAAATTATATATTCATCTTGACTTCAATTGAATTGCACAATTTAAATTAATTACATGCAGTTTAAATTGACTTGTGATAACCATAGCAACTAAAATAACATTATTTTATTATTTTATTGTTTCCCTTTAACGTGACTTTACCGAAAGAACTAAGAATAAGAATTACTGCAGTCACGAAAGCTTTAAATCAAATTTTAAAATAAAATTGTTTCCGTTTAAAGCTCCAAAATCGTAGCTGTCATCGATGAAAATATCTACAAGTGTTTCAGACATTTCGACGGTGTACTATTGGTTTTGCTTTATTTTTGAAACACATTCTACTCCAGTACTGTTCTGTGTACTAACAATGATCGTACTTTCTTGTGATGGTGTTGTAAATGTAAGGGATAACACGATCGGGCATTTTCATGCACTCTTGAGCCGAGAGGTGCCATGCGCATCTCCTTCTGTGGGACTGATTGTATGCTGGATCATTCTACTCTCCTATGGCAGGGGCAGTCTACCCACAGGACAACCACTGGTTGACTTTCCATAAAAGTGGTACTCATTTTATATCGATCAAGAAGGGATGATGGGACTGAGCAAAACTCTGACCTCCAAATGTGGAAAAGGGACTGTGATATAAATTGATCATCGTGCAGAACAAAATTGGAGGATCAATGAGTCTTGTGACACAGATTCATAAGACCAAGAGCCTTGTTGTCAAGCCAATTTTGTGGATCAAACGAATTCGATTTAATAGTGATGTCACCGTCAGACTCACATGGTTTTTCCGACGTGGTTCCAGGATTCAATTACATTATAATCTCTCTGGCTGATGAAGAATAACTACAACCGCTTTTGAGACGTGACCACGAAAATAGACCATTAACAAACTCAGCGTATTTGTTGGATTTATTCATACAAACAAGACTTGACTGTGGGTGCTGTGAAATATGAGCACCACTTTGAGGGAAGTCAACTAACTGTATTTGGTGGTTATTCTATGAACAGACAGGTTCTAGCTATACGATTGTGGTGTTCCCACCACTGACTCAGGCAACCAAT